GTCTGAATGTGAAACTGATTCAAAGAATATTAAAACTTCATCAGAATTCAAGGTTCATTCGGTTAACGATTAGAAGAATATAAATACTTCATCGTTAAACTAGAAACAAGTTGTATAAAGATTGAATCTTTATTGTTAGTATTCTAAATACTTAGTGGTTTGTCTAGTTGTGACAAAAAGGGGAAAAAAAACACTAGTGACATAAAATTAGTGGTTTTTTTGCCTTCAATGGGTGTTTATATGGATTAAATCTCCAAAAGAAGGCTTTGTGTTGCCAATGTGTAAGCATGGAAAAAAATATGTGGAAAATAATTTCAAATACTTGAAAAATATTTTTGAGAACATATTTAAAATGTGGGGGGTTTTTTACTTGTGATAAAGACAAAATTAGACTTACTATCTAATTTAAATTTGAAAGTACAAGATATAAAATTTAATGACAATCTTGTATTATGTTAGACCCACAAAATTCTTGGAGTATATTTGATATTGTGGTTGTTGAGTCTCTCTTTACTAGTATATGATATGACTAGTATGAAACCACAAAATTATATTACTCATTGAAAAGAATTGTATTCTTTGATAAAAAAGTTTCACTTTAAAATATTGTGATTTTTCATGAAAAGATATGTCTATTAAAATTTTTGTTTATAGACATGACATTGGTGAAAAATGATATGTTATGTTTGTGTTGTAAAACAAACATTTGGGTCATATTGCTCTTATTGGACCAATGAAACTATGATCATGGGTAATTCTATAACAAATTGAATAATATGGAAAGGTCCTTCTGAAAAGGACATATGACAAGGTATTGACTCTAAAACAATGTCTGTATTTGAGAAAGTTATAAAAAAAAAGTAAAGAATAAAATATCTGTGGGAAAAGGTTACCTCACAGAAGGTCTTTTCAAACTTAGTATTTTTGTTTGTTCTTACTTGAATCAAATTGTTTGTGACATAAATGCTTGGGACATGTCAATTACAAAACCTTGCAAAAACTAATCAACTTAGAAGTTTTGCCTAACTTCTAGTGCAATAAATCAAAATGTCAAGTATGTGTTATTGAAAGGAATGTTAATACCTTAGAATTGATTTACATTGACATTTGTGATATGAAGTCAACACCATCTTGTGGTGGGAAAAAGTGTTTCATAAATTTTATTGACAATTGCACTAGATATTGTTATGTTTATTTGCTGAATGGTAAGGATGAAGCAATGAAAACATATTGACAATATAAAACTGAAGTTGAAAATCCATTGGATAAAGAGATTGTCATGATTAGAAGTGGTAGATGTGGAGAATATGAATCTTTTTTTGCAGAAATATATTTGGAAAATGGAATCATCCATCAAATTACTGCACATTCTCACCTCAATCTAATGAAATTGTTGACAGGAAAAAACCAAACTTTGAAGGAAATGTTGAATGTCCTATTTATAAGTTCAGGTTTATCACAAAATTTGTGGGTGGTGCTATCATTATAGCAAAAGAGAATAACAAAAAAAAATAAAATTGTCTGTTCAGAAAGAGAGAAACAAAAAGTTTTGTTTGTTAGTAAAGGGAGTAACAAATAATTAAAAAAAAACGTTTGTTTGTTAAGAAAGGGAGCAACAGAAAGTTGTGTTTGTTCAGACTTTGTTATATCCTGATAGAAAATTGTTTGTCGTCCCTTAAAGTTTATACAAGCAATAACTCTTGAAAGATAGTGCTCAAACAATTTCCAATACAGTCTATTTCATATGAGAAATGGAAATGAGGGAACTATTCCCAAACGGGTCAAAATAGGACCTAAGACTTTGGATTGTATGTTCATTGGATATGCTACAAATACTAAATCATGTCGATTTATGGTTCATAAGTCCGAACTGTCGGATAGTCAAGTGAAGGGTCTAAACGACCTTGGAAAGAACCAAAGGAGAATGTACTTAATAAAGAGATTCGGAGGCGTAGTAAATGTCAATGGACAAATTACTTCCTACGAGTTTGATTTTGTAACATTTCTTCTTGAAAATGAGTCTCATTTATTCTAAAAGTTATGTCCTTTGTGGACTCATTCTCTTTGAGAAAAGTCTGTCAATAGTAAGATAGATTCAATCTGAGCAACCATACTTGAGAGTTGGTTGATCTTCCTCCAGAAAATAAATTTTTGGATTCAAAGTGGATCTACAAAAAGAAAAGAAAGTTGATGAAACTATTGACAAATACAAAGACAGACTTGTTGTCATAGGTTTTAGGCAATAAGAAAGCCTTGTTTGACAGATAGTAGCACTAACTAAGATTGCATCAATTCAGATGTTAATTGCGCTAGTTGCGAAATATGACCTTCAAATTCATCAAAATGAATGTGAAAACATTTTTAAAATGGAAAATTGGAGGAAGAAATTTACATGGAACAATCTGAGGGTTTGTGGTTCCTAGTAAAGAAAAGAAAGTCTGTAAACTTGTTAAGTCACTTTGTGGACTAAAAACAAGCTCCTAAATAATGACATGCGAAGTTTGATCAAACTATGTTGGCAAATGAATTCAAGATTAATGAATGTGGTAAATGTTTTTACATTAAAGACACTTCAAATCACAAGGTCATTTTTTGTTTTTTATGTTGATGACATGTTGATCATCAAAAGAGACATTTCTGATGTAAATGCTACTAAGCATATGCTAGAAAGTAACTTCGATATGAAAGACATTAAAATTACTGATGTGATTGAGAAGGTACTTGACAAGTTCAAGTATTTGGATTTCAATATTGTCAAGACTCCAATAAATATGAGTTTTGTACTTCAAAAGCATGAAGGCAAAAACAACTCACAATTGAATTATGCTAGAGTATTGAGAAGTATGATATATATCATAAAGTATACACGATCAAATATAGCATGTGCTATATTAGTAAACTGAGTTGGTTCACGAGTAATCTCAATTAAACTCATTGGATGACAATGAAAAGAGTTTTGGAGTTTGCACAGTATTGGAAGAATATAGTGATGCAAATTGAATCACCAGGTCAAATGAAGTAAAATCTATGAGTGGATTTGTATTTACTCTTGGTGGAGGAGCAGTCTCTTGGAAATCTTCCAAACAAAAATGTATCGCTCGCTCTACTATGAAATTTGAGTTTATCACTCTAGATAAGGCCGGTGAAGAAGTTGAATGACTCCAAAATTTCTTGAAATATTTTTGGCCCAAACCTTTTAGCTCCAGTATGCATACACTGTGAGAGTTAATTTGCAATAGGTAGGGCATGGAACATGATATATAACGGAAAGTCTCGCCATATATGACGTAGACATAATATCGTTATAGAACTACTCTCTAGTGGAATTATCATAATTGACTATGTAAAGTCAAATGATTATGTGTCGGATCCACTTATAAAGGCCTAGCTAGAGAGGGAGTTGATAGATTATCAAAGGATAATGTGTCGGATCCACTTATAAAAGGCCTAACTGGAGAGGGAGTTGATAGATTATCAAAGGGAATGAGACTATGGTCAAGAACAAGTCATTGTGGCGGTAACTCTACCTATAAGACTGGAGATCCCAAGATCTAGGTTCAAGGAGATCAAACAAAGTCATTGATGACGGTTCAACATTGTTAATTTTTTTTTATGGTCCATTCTCATGATAAGACAATGTTCAGTAACAAGGATAAAGGCATCATGACTTTTTAATGGTTTCTAAGTTTGATACATGATATATCAAATGGTGTATCTACGGGATAACACATTTAGAAATCACCTATGTAAGTGTGAAGTGTAAGCCGCTTCAAGGAGAATCTGATAAGGCTAGTTCTCTACGCACTTATAAACCGAGACGTGTTCATGGCTGAAACGAACAAAACAATGAGAACCAAAAACAATTCAAGGGTTGATTGTGTGACTTATGTTGTCTAGGTATACACCAAAGCTCGACGGTTCAAAGATATCAAATCTACTGATTGACCGAGTATATCCGATATATGTTCACTATGGAAAGTTCAAAGGGAAACCCACTTATCCAGAGGCAATCAACCCTTAATTACGAATCACACAATTTTTTACGCATATGTTTTAATAATAGCCATTTCCTATTCATGTGGGGGATTATTTGGTTTTAAAGGTGTGAACAGGAAATGAAGGGTTGTGACTCTCCTGAAGAGTTGTAACTATGCCGAAGGGTTGTGACCTTTATGAAAGGTTGTGTCCTTTCTAGAGGGTTGTGACCGTTTGAAAGGTTATGCCTTTTCCAAAGTGTTGTGACCTTTCTGAAATGCTATTTTCTTTCTGAAATGTTGTCTTCTTTCCAAAGGGTTATGACATTTACCCTTTGTTGGCTATAAATAGAGAGGTTTTCTCTCATTTTTTTGCATCGAATTCTTCCCTTCTTTTGCATACATTTCTTACAAAACAAAATCGATCGACCGTGTCTGTGTGTGTGATTCGTTGCTGTCATTTTGAGTTCGTTGAAATTATCGAAGTTTGAGGTACTGCTACTTCTTTAATGGTTAATCCGTTTTATCTTGGGAGGAATTAATCTGCAACCTCAGGTACTTGAGGGGATTAAATTTCTTAAGGACACACAGTGGATTCTGTGGACTCGGATAGTTCTTTGTGTTTTTCTTTTCATCTTTTATTATTTCTGATTTGCTAATATGAATACATGAGATAACAACATGTGTCTATTTATTTATTTTTTTACAAACTTCAGTAATTATGTATGTGCAACCGAAATTGAAGGATATAAGTTAAGTTAAAAAGGACATATTGCCTTCATATGTCATTGAGGGAGTTTAGTGTGATGATTGAGTAAATCCTATATATGAAGTGAATCCTCGTACATCAGCCAGAGAGGGCCACAACTAGTTATGAACAAAAAGGAATTCTTGGCCACTTGATTAATTATATTATTACTGGGGTCTTATTATTAGTCAGTTTGTATATATATTAAAAAGTAGTAGTATACTCTGGACCAACTTTTTATTGTATTTCTTGCCTTTTAAGCACTCTTTTGTACCCCTCCCTAGCTACCCCCAAATCTCACACTAATATTTCTTCATTCTTCTTCCTCCAATCCAAACACTTCCTTCCTCTCTTCTTTCCCTTTTTCCTCTCTGCTTAAATCTACTTTAGCTTTAGCTCCGTATACAGATAGTATGCCTGAATGTCAAGAGAAAGGTATTCATCAACCAGGTTATGCTTTTTTAGCACAACAAAAAAAAAAAGGTCCATTTAATTTCTTGTAGAAGAATCGCGTAGATGTATGTTTTTAGTACTAAAGCATTGTTAACGAAATACTTGTAGTGTTTAACTTGTTTACAATATAATATTGATGTCAGGGAGCGATATGAGGAGATAGGTAAAAAAATAAAGAGGGAAGCAGATGAGTACTCGCAGATGGGAAGAAGATATATGTTGGTGCCTCCAGGAAACACAAGCTTAAATACTGTAACGCCTTGTGCTGCCTGTAAGCTTTTGAGACGTCGTTGTGCTCAAGAATGTCCATTTTCTCCATATTTTTCCCCTCATGAACCTCAAAAGTTTGCTTCTGTTCACAAGGTTTTTGGTGCTAGTAATGTTTCCAAGATGCTAATGGTAAGTATAGTACCACCAATTCATGATGTTATCAATAAGTTTAAACCGTTAAAAAAAAAAAGAGATCTTATGTTTATTTAATAATTATATATTCAGGAAGTACCTGAGAGCCAAAGAGCAGATACAGCTAATAGCTTAGTTTATGAAGCAAATGTAAGGTTAAGAGATCCCGTGTACGGGTGCATGGGAGCGATTTCTTCTCTACAACAGCAAGTTCAAGCATTACAAGCGGAGCTGAATGTTATTAGAGCGGAGATAATAAAGTACAACACTACTACTACTACACTACTCATTCCGTCTTCTCATATCACATCATTGCTTTCTTCTGGAGCTGTATCCATCGCCACACCACCGCCACCATTAACAATTCTACCTTCAACCATATCTTCTACTCATGATGCAAACATGTACACTCAACCCTCTACAACCACCACTCAATTTACCAGTGAGAATAATATATCCTATTTTGGCTAGCTAAATTTGTTTATTATTCATAATGCAAAATTAACTACAATAAATTGTTTAATGGCACAATAACATTATCATACCCATGTTATTTTCCTTTTTAATCACTACATACTATATATAAAGAAAGTTCCATCTTTTATGTCATTTTTGTGTTTCTTTCTTAATGGTTATATTAATTCTACTGACAGTGAGTTTTCCTACCATGCACCATTCATTAGCACATATAATTAAGTCATAACGCTAGGAAAAGTGAAGGACAAATATAATTGAACCCCTACCTATTGTGTATTAATACCACTAGACTGTAAGACTTGGTTTCCTCTTCAACATTCATATAACTACAAATATTTTTCGTTTAATTCATTCTCTTTTTTTCTAGTATGGGAGTTAACCCCATGATAGTCACACAAAGTTAAAGTAAGAATGTCTAGTTGTTCCAGAGCTACTAGAGAGAGATTCTTTGATCAGAAATAATTCGATTCAGATGGAGGATATTTATCTAGAAGTTTTCGCAACTCAAAGTCCTTACAATTTTCCTTTTATATAAATGTACGTCAAAAATTAGTTGATCTTGTTATTAAATGATGTTCATTACTTTTTCTTGGTTTAGAATAATATTTGCAATTTTAAGATATATAATCATTGAAGAAAATTGTATATATAATGGTATAGGTACATATATAGGAATCTATTAATCAAGCTTGTTTTGACATTTTAAGGTGCTTTCTCATCTAATATAAATTATATGTTGAAGATTTGAAAGGGAAAAAAACTGATTAGTAACAGTAACAATGATCATAAGGTGTGTTAATTAATTGAGTTTTAGAAAAGTTAAAAGCAAATAAATACGAAAATGTAGTTGAATTGTTAGCTGGTCAGTAGTCCTGCCAGCTAATTTTGTCTTTTGTATAATTTAGGTGTTCCTTGGCGTGTGGAGTTCAATATGCATTAAGAGGAAGGCGAAGGAACCCTTTAATAATAATGTAAACAAACTTATAGGGAACTTCATTCCCTTCACTCTCTTTTAATTTATTTATTTATTTTATTTTTAAAAATTGGGGGTAGGAGAGGGGGAAGGGGTATCAGGATTACAATGTGGGGAACCGAACACTCATCAATAAAGTGTGAGTTCAGATAGTCAACCAACTTAGTTACTAAGACTCCCGCTCTTTTAATTTATTATATTCTCTTCCAAAAGAAAAAAAAAGTTTGTGGTGGGGGAGGCTTCTTCATGAACTCACCATATTACAAATGTAATACAAAGACGAAATTCAATGTCTCACTCATCTAAGTCTCTTTCAAGAGTGTATAAAACCAATGCAGAGAATTGATGGAATTTGGTCTAAGGTCATGGTTGCTTAAGATGTTGGCATCTTACTTGTCTTTACATTCATTTCCCCATTGAAAAATAATTCTTAATTTATAGCTTTACTTCTCCCAAAGTCTCATCTTTAGTGACTCTTATGAGGCAAGTTGTGGAAGGAAACTGCTTTGAAACATTCCATCACCAATTTTTAAAACAACAAAAGCAAATGGTCAAGTACGTCAAGTTAATCCCCTCCCCACGTGAAGTTACTTTAATTTATTAAGCTACAATTTATGGCTAAAATGTATGATCAACCTTAATATCCACTCAAGCTTTTGCAAAAATCTAGTAAAGCATGTTCTCTTATGCAATTCAGTGATAAAGTAATCATTAAGGGGTTGTTTCGTAAATTAGAATAGTATTGAATAAGGTGTATTAGTAATATTAGAGCAGTACAATGTTGTATTAGTTATGCTAAAATTATTTCTTATGCAATGTTTCGTTTGATGAATTAAAAATTATTCCACATATTGTTTACAAAATGCCCTCCATAAATACAGTGAAATGGATATGGAAAAGGTTTTGAGGCCAATTGTGTCTTTACCATGCTAATGCATGTCCTTACATTGCTAACACCATAGTTTGACATATACCAAATAGCATTAAGTATACATGAATCAAAAAAGTTTATGAAATAAGTAAAGTACTAATAATACACGAAGCTAATGCATGCATTATTTTATCCAGTATATCTTACCAAGTCGAAACCCTAAATCAATGCATTCATTATTACATTTTCTATATCGATCCTTGTGCGAGTGAAGAGTCTTGAAAACAATAGGGAGAAAGCTATGGTTTTATTTTGATAATGTATTCGGTTCACCACTAGTTCTCTTGATAATTAGTTGCAACCGTTTCACTATTCTAAACAACTAGGAATAATTAGAATGTAGAATTAATTAGAAGCTTTACGTTCCAGGTTATTGACATGAAAAAATAAAAATGATTATTAACAAAAGTTGGACCCCTAATTCGACTAATAAGTTATTTATGATGACATATTGTATCTCTCAGAACCTGCAGAAACAACAAATAAATTCATTTCTTGAAGATCTTGTATCTCAATACTGAAATATTGATTTTTTTTTTTGGTTTTTTTCCTTGCAAATTGATTTTCCATTCAGTATCAATACATGGCACTATCTGATTGGCTATTAAAGTACATGGAAGGGCAAAAAGAGGCCACACGTCTTCTCCACAAACTCTTATTTTTCTTTGTTGCTTTCATAGTTTTTGCGTTCTTATTGTGGTTCAATTTTCTTCTTTTTCTTTGTTCCACTGATCTGGAGTAACATAGAAATAAAAAATACATAGATGCAATAAATTGGTTAAATTCTAGAAAATATGAAGGATGAATTTTGAATTTGACAAAAATGGATGCAATAAATTTCAATTTGAATGTATAATATTTGCATGTAAATCTTCGGGAACGTTTAATCAACTACTCTGCTTGTGTTGATTTTTCATTCAATCTTGTGTTCAAAGTTCTGAGTGTGCTTTGATTTGTAGCTTTCATCATTGCTCGGATTGAATTCTTCTTTTCTCCTTCTTGGTTTCTAAATTTGAGTTGCATGCTAGTATTTACCTTGACTCTCTACTGTACCGAGGATATTTGATAGTATGCCTAAATCAATTTTTTCCCTTCTTCAATTGTACATTTATGGAATTTTTTAGAGAAAATGCATAAAGTGACACCTGAAGTTATCTCAAAAAAACACATTACCTATACGGACATTCTATTACCCCATAAAAGTATTAAATATTGTTGTAAAGAGACCATTTTGACCTATTTTCTCCCTTTGCATTCACGCGGATGACGCGCGTGGATGCGATTTTTTTTTAAAAAATGAATTAAAAAGTGTCACGTGTCATTTCCTTCTCTATTATTTAATTATTTCTTCTTTAAATACTCCATCTTCCCCAATTCTTTCAAAAAGATCCCATGGTTGAAGGTTTAAACTCAAGAAAAAATCATCTTCTTCCTTGAATGAAATCAGCCCAAAAAGATTAGAACTTTCTAACTTCTTGTTAATTTGCAGTAGTCAAGGTTTAATTTCTTCTAAATTTCTTTAAATATTGAGAAATCAGGTTATCTTTTGTGATTAGACTTTGAGGAAAAACATTCTTATAATGTCAAACACAAATCTTAAATCATATTTGTAACGACGAGAATGATTCGATATTGTGCGTGATGTGATGCAAACATGAAGACTTACTTTCAATGCAAATTTAGTGATCAAAGCAAAAAATTCTTATGTCTTTTCTCATTTTTAACAACTTCTAATATTTATTAAAATTAAGTTCCATGAGATAGGTGAGTCTGGAGCATTATTTCATTATGAAAAAGCGCCACAAAATTCAAGCAAAATCCAATCTGCGAAACTTAAAGAAGCTCGACTCTTCACAACAATGGCGGCAAAAATGGACGATTCCAAAAGTGAAAGTTTGCTTCAACATCCAAAGGTAAATCAACTCCCAAGAAACTGAAATCATCAATTGAAAAGGTTTTGAATAAAACCCATAAATTGTAAGCAGCGAGAGTATCCTTTACAGCCAAACATGTGCCAATATTTCAGTTTTGGGTTTGCACTTTATTAATATTTAAATTAATTCATTAAAAGGGGTTGTGCATCACTCTTTCATTAGATTTCTTGGATTGGTGAGAAAATGGGCCAAAATAGTCTCTTTACAATGCTATTTAATACTTTTGTGGGGTAATAGAGCACCTGCATAGTTAAGGTGTCTTTTTGAAAATTCGAGACAACTTTAGTGGTGACTTTATGTTTTTTCTCAAAATTTTACTCAAACTTCATGTTCATTGTTGGTCTAGGAAATTTTGATCTTCTCTGTTTAAAAGTTTGTCCTTTCTTTTTTTCATATTTGTGGGTAAAATCTTTCTCTACTTACTAGGGAGAGTTGGCAAAATAGCTACTCTCCAAACTTAATTAAACATTTAGACAAAAGTCTTAAAATATTAGTACTATAGACACCATATATGACATCACTCAATATTCTTCCAAAACATACAACACCCTACTCTCAAACTTTTGATACTACGCTTTGGTCCCCACTCATCAAACACAAATGTGGATTTTTTTTTTTCCATTTATTGAAAAATTTGACGGGAGAAAAGCTCTCCAAGAAGAAACCAAAATGCTCCCCTTTTTTTTGTAGCCGATTTAGCTGATTCCAATGACTTTTTCGACGATATTCTAGCTTTCACAGGTGAAATCATCATCATTCTAGTCATTGCTTCCATTTTTACACCATTTTCTTTCAAATAGCTTCAAAGAAAAAAAATTCCGCCATTCTTGAAGCTTGCATAAATCTTCCAAAATCACTTCATAACTCATTTTTAGATAAACTTTAGTTGTTTAGAAGGACTATAGATACATTTTCTCCATTTCGAGCTTGATCTGAACCCATTCTTATTCATTCGCATTTTGTACGGATTTTGTACCAGTCATCGACCCCTAGTTACTGATATTGTAATCTAGTATCTATCAGTGTAGTCTATATATGACAGTAGCTGAATTTGTTGTTGCTGGTGGTGACTATATGAGAGTATGAGAGGAGACTCCCAAAAGCTGGTATTGAAAATCTTTTAGTAAAACTATAGTTCCCATTGCGTTGCGTCGCA